TCTTGTTTTGACCAACTTTTCCTAGAACTTTGACCAAGTAGTAGAAATGCTTCCCGAAAATGTTGTCGACGGGGGTGGTTCAAGAAATTTTCCGCACTAACATAAGCAAAGCTTCAAATATTTTCGCCAAAATAAGCAAGGTTTGCAATTGTTTCAGCGCAAACATGACCAAAGCTTAGAAATTGTTAAAATTGCGAACGATTTCTTAACTCTGACAATTTTTATCTGAAACTTTGACCAAATTTTACCAACTTTGACCTTCAATTTTAAGCAAATATTAGTTCCATTTTGACCAACTTTGACCAACGTTTTAAATTATTGGGCGGGGTTACACCCCCCCCCACACACACCCAACCTGTAGCGACGTCCCTGGACATTGTCGAGATAACGTTTCGCCTTTCACTTGAGCTATATTATTTTTTTAATTAATCGGAGTAGGCTCATTCTAGTTTATATATCTACGCAGATATTTAATATCTACTTATTACTACAATCGCGCGCGTTTTTTGCATCTACAAGTTGGGCATAAAGCCTGCATGCAATCAGCAAAAACTTAGCTTTGCATTGGCAATATTTCCAGAGTTTCCTTCACTGGAAAAAAATTGAAAATCCATAGAAGGTCATAAAATGGAAATTGTATGGACCTTTATTGGAAATAGAATGGATTTTGGTTATCCATAATAATTGTATATTTCCATAGTATGGATATAGTAAGGAAATAGGATGGATATACTATGGATTTAGTGGTGCAATTGCAAATTTCGTAGTATGGATTTCACTTTTTTTTCCAGTGCCTTTTCCCCTTTCCCATGAAAAAATAGAAATGCAAGAGCCTGGGTAATGCCAATGCATGAAGATATCAACGTAAAAATACGTGAATATTTTGAATATTGTTTACTCGAGCTCCAGTGTACGCGAAACTGCCACGTCATATAGGGTTCAGTATAAATTAATACTATACGTCAGTGCTTCACTGCGTCTGAATTTTTTAGAATACTACTCTTATTTATTTATTATTGATGTTTAATAAATATCGTTAAATGTCGCTGTGATTACTACATCTGCACAACTAGGTAAATATATTGTAATGGAGTGATAAAATAGCTAGGTCAATAAACTATATGTCTAGATTTTTCGCGATTATTGCGTTCCTATAACAAATTATAACTATATTGTGAGCTGTTGTGCATGGACTTGGTCGGTAATTTCTGTGCCATATTTCGATGAAGCGTACTTTGATGAAAAGCGGCGTTTCTGAAGAACCACCCCTGCATTTTACGCACTGTTCTGCATTTCATTTTCTTCAAATGGTTGACCACCAGGGGTGGGTTGTAGGAAATGTGTTTCCGCGGTCGCTATAACTGTCATTTCATTTTAACTTCTATCCGCTGTGTTAAATTAAAAGAACCTGCATGCGGCCTTGCGCTTCTGGTTCAGTGCTCTGACTATTGAACTGTAGATCAACTTGCCAAGTCTAACTGCAGATCACTGCACCGGCCCAGGGTCGTAGCTAGACCGATAATTGGGGGGGGGGGGAGGGGGTGTATATTTATATAATCGTGTTCTACCCGACAGATTTCTTTCCAAAGCGATTGTTTTTGCGATGAGTGAACATGAATATATGAATATACCCCCCCCCCCAAATTAGCGCGTCTAGCTACGGCCCTGTGCACCGCAATTGCAGAGTTCGATCGATTCTTGCCAAAGGCCCTGTAGTAGCATTGCTTGCAGCTGCTCCCGTTCTGGTCCAAAATATGTACATATTTTCGCTCGAAATTTTTATGAGAACCCCTTCAACATTCTAAGTTTTAAACGACTGTCAATCAGATTTGGTTGCAATATTTAATATAAGTATAGGCCGCGAAACAACTAGTCCATTATTGTTTTTTATTGAGTTCCTCACTCTCATTGGTGAACGGATTTCCCAACAGGCTATTGCCCATTGATAATGGATCTGAGGTATACCTACGATTTAGTGTGCTTATCCAAGAAGACGCTTAGTCTAACCATTTACTGATGTCAATGAAAGATAGCTCTTCTCAATCAGTATTTTAAGACCTTGAGGTCCGACCAAGGATTGAACCCGGGTCTCCCAGCTTCAAAGGCAAGCTTGAGCCAGAATTCGTGTCCCCTGAAGCACGAAGCGTTCAGGGGGATAGGAATTCTGGCTCCAGACTGAGAAGGATAAATCTCGTATATATAGTCCGACAGACTGTTGAAAAAGGATTTTGTCTATCACCTCACAGGAAAAAAATTCTGATTGGATGAAACAGAACTGATAAATCTCGTATAGTTTTAAAAGTTTTCAATTCTAAAATGTCAAACAATATTAGGGGCCTGTTCATATGGGGAAAGTTATCCCGGTTAGCGAGAAAACATTTTGACAAGTTTACAATAGAGATCTTGCCTTGCTATGAAAATAATATGAAAAGTTACACTGCATGCATTCATATGAGACAAAAAGTTTCCCCGTGTACCGAGATCTCGGTTGTTGAGAGGCGAGATCTCGGTGACCGGGATAATATTCTTAGCTATTTTTCCCATAAGGCATATATATGAATACAACGTAGCCACAACTTTCCCGCTTAGCGGGAAAACTTTCCGTCACGTCGGCGTGTCAGCAACTTTTCTGTTTTTAAAATGTATTTTTTATTTTTAACTTTTCCCGCCTTGCGCGTCACACCACACGTCACAGTCGGAAACTTTACCCGATGAGCGGGATAACGTTTCTCCATATGAACAGAACAAAATTATTTGGCTAGTCGAAATGTTTTCTCGCTAACCGGGATAACTTTTCCCCATATGAACAGGCCCTATAGGTAAGTTAACTTGGACGTTTTAGAACATGTAGGATGAAATGCTGCGGCATGTAAAGTTACCTGTCGCGGATGTATTTCTGGCTAGTACTAGTGTTTTACGATGGCCAGCTTTTTCAACTATTAGGTGGCATCTTTGTAGGAAAAGAAGTATCTTTTGTAATGTCCACAGACCGTCCAGACTTGTTGGGGAGACGATTTAATGCATGACGAATGTTCTGAAGTGATGCTGGAGAGAGGTGTTCTCATTTACTTGTGCGTGCACTGAATCAAAACTTCACCAAAAAGTCGTCCTGCTTGTCGTCACTGAAAGTCATGTCTTTCCTATGCTATGCTAATTCTTCGTCAGAAATTAGATTTACCGACTGAGGTTGTTTGATGCCATTTAAGTTCATTTTGAATAAATGCCTATGGAACAAAGTCGTATCCTTTTGGAGCTATGGTGGCCAATGAAGGCCATTCCGAAGTTTTATGTTTTATACCTGCGAAGTGCACCAAAAATACGAGATTTTTCTCATTTTGCTTCTTCCAATCAAATTTGTTTATTACTGTGAGGTGATATAGACAAAGCGGGTAGTATTGTGTATTACGGTCTTTACTCTGCAAGACGAGTTACCAGTATAAAAGTTTACGAAACGATGAAGCTAACATCAATTTCGTACACGTTTCTCCTTTGAAAGGTGCCGTAGAATCAAAAAGATATCTGAAACAACCAATGCTTGTTAAAGCTCTACCATTATCTTCGTCGAGTATATACCTCGCATGGAAAGGACCAATAAACCATCCTGGTGGTATCAGATATAGGATTTACTTAAAGAAAGAATCACAAACATTTCAACAGCATAAAGATATCGCAGGAGCAGAAGCCATTGTGGATGGTCTTGAAGCAAACGTGATGTATGAAGTTTGTGTGAGAGTCGTGGACAAACATTATAAAACAGCAAGAAGCAGTTGTGATGATGTCGCTGTGATTACTACACCTGCACAACTAGGTAAATATTACTGAAGGTATTATATTTCTAACACTAAATTTGATTTTTCTGTGTTGGTGTAATTGTACTCAGGTGAATATGATGCTTGTGATGTTACTCTGAGTGTTTATCCACACCGGGCAAGCTTGAAAAATATTCCCAGCCACGATGGGAATCGAACCTACGACCTTTGGAATACTAGCCCAATGCTCTTCCAACTGAGCTACGCGGTCAGGTTGGTACGAGTATGTGATATTTCGGAACCGAATCTAGTTCCTTCGATATCAATGTAATCTAATAATCATGATTTTTCTGTGTTGGTGTAATTGTACTCAGTACAATTACACCGGAGTACATTACACCAACACAGAAAAATCATGATTATTAGATTACATTGATATCGAAGGAACTAGATTCGGTTCCGAAATATCACATACTCCAATCGACCTGACCGCGTAGCTCAGTTGGAATAGCATTGGGCTAGTATTCCAAAAGTCGCAAGTTCGGTTCTCATCGTGTCCGGGCATATTTTGCCCCCTTACAAGCAACACTAAATTTGTCAAAAAAATACATCCACCAGGGTGGACGTAAATACGATGTACAGGGACGAAGCGAATACTTTTTGTGTGTGTGCGGGGGGAGGGGGTAGAGATCACATTACCTGATTTTTAAGATTACGTTTTATGTTATCTAAGTGTTTGAAATTTAGTGTGGTTTGTTCATGAGCACATTAAAAAAGCAGGTATTTCTTTCGAAAGAATACATTAACATAATGCCGGGCACGGAGAAAAATCGGTTAGTGGGGTTCGGAGAAATGGTACCCCGAGGTTATTTTGAATATTTAGACCCTCAGAAAGCCAGCCGGGTATGCAACTAAAACATTCTTAGCTGGCGTTCACTTTTAACTTCCATGTTTAGCTGTCAATGCTCTTAACATCAGATGCTCAAGTTACCTCTAAATTTACCCGAAATTACTTATGAACAAACACTGGGGGGAGGGGGGGGGGGAGAGCATCAAAGCTGCGTTGAACGACATATAATATAAAATATATGCCACGATCGAATTAGCCTCTTCCATAGGCATCACAAGTGATCTACGCTCAGTAGACGTCCATTGTGATTTCGTGAGGTAGAAGTTTTGCGGTTGCGACTTTCGACCTTCAGAGGACGTGATCAGTTCATGTTTCGTGTTAATCGTGTATATGCTATAGTGAATGCTTAGTGTAGACAATGAAAGGTGAACGTTTCAAATGGGAGCTTTGTCGCAAGCTAAACTTCATTCTATTTCATTTACATTAATCATGACGTAGTCCAGAGTGAACCAGTCATTAGAGAGCTTTAGATTTGAGTACGACTACGAGATTCGTTGTTTGCAAATACTCCTCACCTTCTTGCCATAATCTCGTAGTAGAGGATATTTTATTGCAAATTCAAAAATCCTGTTGTCGATATCGCGCCGGCTACCAAAGAAGATTTCGTATCCAAATAACGAATCTCGCAGGCGTAGTCAAGAGTCACACCAACGCCATGTAACGAGGGTACATTTCCCTCTCTCAGCGATTTACAGCCGAGTTACAAAATACAATGGAATGTAGTGTGGCTAAGGATTCTTGGGTTCATATCTGTCCTCAAAAATGGCGGACTTTTAGGAATGAAAAGAACCTCAAATCAACTTATTCGTTTCATAATTTGGAAAAAAATATGAAAAAAGGAAACTGTGTCTAGTTGGACATGTATTCTCATTATTATTTTAAAAAACATTGTGTGATGGTAAATCGGGAAATTTATGTGGCAGTGTCCATAACGAAGCTTGTTATAACTTAACAAAAGTTTTAACTATGCCAAAGTACGAAGGGTTCTATAGAACTCCCGAGGTTTTGGAAGAATTAGAATTGCGTCTAAAAATTAAATGAAGATGGTACAAGGTTCTCCTCTATTTCACTGATCCCATCGGAATCGCATATTTTGATTGTATATTCATATCATGATTATATATTTTCCTTCCATGAAAACAGAGCTAACTCTAGAACGCTGTATAGAAATCTTCTAACAGATTGCTGCTCGAATAATTTGGTCGAAAAGAAGTTTAAGCCTTGGGCCAATATTGACAATATTGTTGCGAAATTATGGTTTCCTAGTCATGCTTCACTTTTCTTTCTGCACTGATGTTTCAGTTGGTTGCCAAACGGGGAAACATTCGAAACAATTAACATTAGAAACTTAAAATGTTTACATATTATTTAATTAGGTTCGTAAGAAAAAATATTTCTATTTGTAACCAATATAGGAGACCTGTATAGATAGGAGAAATCTTCTCATTTACTTGAACATGTCTGCAGCATTGTATAAATATAACACTTCCCATCTCAATTGCAAGCATGCATTATAATGACTATGATTGCTATCGCAAGAGAGCGCATTCCCAAGTGACCCACTACACTACCAAGGACATGTCATTCGGTCAGTACATCAACCGTATGAGATGTTTGATGCTAATGTGAAGAAACGTTCCTTATCATTCATGCTTGCCATCCCATCTAGGAAGGTCGAACATGTGCATGATACGATGACATTTGCAAGAATGTGCCAAATGAACAACACGTACTCTTATCACTCAGCTTGTAAGGTGTGGGCAAGTGAGTCCTTAGGCACTATTACTGCCTTGTACTCAGAGTTTAAGTGAGAAGGAGAATTAGAGTCGTGCAATTTAAATATATCATGAATTATAACAAATGATGTTATATAACAAACACGCACAAGTATGCAGACGACTGCACTCTTGATGAGGTCGTTGCAAACGGAGCCCTTTCAAATATGCAGGAATCGACTAATCAAGTGATGAATTGGGCCAATGATAATAAAATGATGGTGAACCCCCAAAAAACTAAGGACATGTG